TTTATGAAAGGTTGTGTCTTTTCTAAAGGGTTGTGATCATTTGAAAGGTTGTGCCTTTTCTAAAGGGTTGTGACCTTAAAAAGTTGTCCTTTTTCCAAAAAGTTGTGACCTTTACCCTTTGTTGGCTATAAATAGAGAGACTTTCTCTCATTTTTCAGCATCAAATTCTTCTCTTCTTTTGCATACATTTCTTACAAAACAAAATCGATCGATCGTGTATGTTTGTGTGATTCGTTGCTGTTATTTTGTGTTCGTTGAAATTATCAAAGTTTGAGGTACCACTACTTATTTAATGGTTAATCCATTTTATCTTGGGAGGAATTAATCTACAACCTCGGATACTTGAGGCGATTAAATTTCTTAATGACACACAGTGGGTTCAGTAGACTCAGATAGTTCTTTTCATCTTTTATTATTTTTTGTTTGCTAATTTGAACACAATAGATAACAAGCTTAAGAAATTTAATATTGATGGTATTTTCTGTGGTAAGGAAATTACTTTTATTTTATGTGTTCTTTTTGTTGGAAAAAAAGAAGAAGAAGAAAATAATTATTTTATCATATGATAAAAGAGATTTGAGATGAATTAGTACTACTTTAATATGTTCGAGTATATTTTATGTAGTATGTTTTCCTTGGATGGGTAAAATTATTTTTATTTTCTTCCCAAGTGCATTGAGTCATTGCACCCCTTCAGTTTTCTTTTCAATAAGAAAAGTTATTTTGTGCATAAAGACTAAGATATGCACTTTAATTTTTTTCTTGAATTCTTGGTTTTATATAACTATGAGAAGAAGTAAATGAACATATGTTGTCTCCTAACAATATTTGAACATGAGTTTAGTTTCTCGTTTAAATTCAATATCTTCTAAGGAAAATTGGAATATGATGGAAAGTGGTGTAACAACCTGATTCTGTCATTAGGGAATAGCCAATGGGAAAAGAATTGGGGCCAGAAAACTTTTGAGTAGTAACTTGGAAATTCCTAGCCTAGTCCAGATTTGGACAAAATCAGAGTCAGTGAGGTCTAGGGAAATCTGGTAATGAGTGAAAGATATTATAATAAATTTGATTACATGAGTGGATATCCAAGACGTTAAGGAACCCGTACGACTTTACAAAATCAAATTCAGGCGAGTAGAACTCCCGAAACTGACCTTAGCGTGAACGAGTAGTTTTTGAATGTCATGGGTTGAAGGTGTGTTGTGAAATGGGGGTTTGAAACTTTAATTCCGACGTTCTATCTCTTCCATCCCGGACATAGTTTCCCTCTCTGTTATTGTTTCCATAGTTCCGACCTTGGTTTCCTTGACCTTGGCGCCAATTATCCAAGTTGGAACCTTGGGCGTTGGTTTGGAAACCCCCCGTCTGATCATTTACCAAATAAGCATCCTCCTCATAGTAGCATTCCTCAACTGGTGGTGGTGGAGATCCAGCCAGATAGTTTACCGCATTCACCTTCTCTGCACCTCCGGTCACATGCTTTAGTACCAAACCAATTTTGTCCTCATCTGAGCCATTTCCTCATGAATGTCATCACTAATTTGGTCTGGTGCGGCTTGAACAACAAACGTGTTTCTTCCAGTATTAGCTTTTCTAGTGCTCCATGCCTTATTATTCCAGGAAATCTTCTCCAATTTTTCAGTGATCTCCTCAAAAGTGCACTCACCATAGGATTCTTCAGCGATAGTATCTAGCACAACTTTTCCGTTGTTATCCTTCCCTCTGTAGAAATACTCCTTCAATGACTCGTCATCTATGCGGTGATTAAGAACACTTCTGATGAATGCAATGAATCTATCCCAAGAACTGCTCACAGACTTTCCAGGTAATGCAACGAGATTATTCAACTTGTCCTTGTGGTTAAGCTTCTTAGACACTGGGACATACTTTGCCATGAACACTCAATGCAATTGGTCCCATGTATGAATTGAATTGTATGGAAGCTCAACAAACCACACTGCAACATCACCGGTCAATGATAGAGGGAAGACTCTCAACCCTATGACATCCATATCAAACTCCGGTCACCCCACACAACTTTTACAGACACTTCTCAATTTAGCCATGTGACCATGTGGATCTTTCGAAGCTAGCCCAGAGAACAACCCTCTCACTATAAGCATCTGCATAAGACTATTGGTCACCACAAATGTATGCCCTGGAGGTAGAGGAGGAAGAACAATGGGCCCTTTTGATTCAACTGTATTGAAGTCAACCCTGTAGTTATCACGCAACCTTGGTTCTGGCAGATTCTATACCCTCAATGCATCTCCGATAAAATTTCCACCATGAACCTGAGCTTGCACATTAACAATCCCAGGAGTCTGCAATTGTACTCCATCACCTAGATTCTCTCCGATTGGATTGATTTGGACCCCTTGATTATTTATTTTTCTCAAAGTTTTGCTCAACTCTGGATCGTAGGGGGTCAATGGTTTGCCTCGACTCCGTGTACTTGGCATATACTAGAGTAGAAACCTGTAGAAAACAAAAACAAAAGAAAATGTAAAATCAGGAAAAAAATTGACCAAAGTTCAATAATGTAGTTAAACTTAATCCAAAAGCCTTATTCCCCGACAGCGGCGCCAAAATTTGATATGCTCAATCTACACTTCTATTAAAGAAGTATAAGTGTTCTTCGTCAAATAAAGAACCCAACTTGTAGGTTGGGGTCAATCCCACGAGGAATATGGTTCAGACTTAAACTTAACTCACTATTATATCTGTTTAGTCAAACTATTTCCGAAACAAGTAATAAAATGGGGGGTTTTGTGTAAGAAAATAATCGATTGTTGATCAAGTAATAAGTGAGCAAGATTCAAACTTTAACTTATCAATATGAGAGAGAAATTAGGGTGTATGTGTTCCCCATAAAATCTTAACGCGGTAATCCTAATAATAATAATCCTTTCCTAGTTTTTTACATGCAAAATTGGTAAGATATGTATCCCTAGGTGATTGGTCCTCCAAATAGGGAATTTCACTACGCACCTTGGTCCGGCTACGAGTGTATACTTTACTAACCCTTACTTTTACCTTAGATTAGACATGACATCAATTTATGGCTTAGTTTTCACCCTCACACCAATTGACATTAGACTATTAGATAGCATCCACTAAATCTCTATTGTTAATTCTTTTCTCATTAACTACCTCTTTGGTCCGGCAAGTAGCAACGATGTGAGTTCTAACATTGGCCACCGTTAAAAAGACTTCTAAGCGAATGAATTACCAATACATGCATAAACACTATTCAAGAATTACTTAATTATTATTCATACGTTGTTAATTGCTAATGGTTCCCACAGTTTTGGATTTAGCTACTCATGCTTAAAAGAACACAATTCATGTTTTGATAAAGAGAATTCATGAACTTATGATTATAGTAGAAGAAACCCGAAATCTCCAATTGAATTTCAAAGTCAAAATCTTGTAAAACGAAATCCAGAAATCAAATTGCTAAAGTTGCAAGTTAATTCCACAAAATACCAAGAACTTAAAGTAAACAATAATGTCTAACCCCCAAAAATGAGGTTTACATACCCTATTTATACAAAAACAAGTCCTAAACAAAAAGGAAACAAAATAAGGAAATAAACTTCTGGAACGCGACATCAATCGACGACTCGACCTACGGACTGTGGGTCAACCTACGGTCCGTAGGTCCCCTCTATTGATCAACACTTAGAACTTTTTCAGCATAGGTTGGAACCTTCACTCTCATATCATCAACGATGGACGTGCATGACAGACTTAGGATTTTCATTAGGTACTGGAACTTCAATTCTCTGAACACATTTGACGGATATGCATGACGGTTCGTGGGTCGACCTACGGTTCATATGTTGCTCCGTAGTTCCACACTTGGTCAGACTTCCTTGATGCTCCATCTACGCCTACCATTAACGCACCGTCAAAGGACCTACCGCCCGTGGATCACTTCCATGAGGGGATCCTTTTGCATATTTTCAGCTGTCATCTCACTCAACCGCGTCCAAGCCTATTTCCTGCAGACATAACACAAAACACATTATTTCTAATACAATATGACCCTAGACGCACACAACTCTTAAGTGAAATGCATAAAAAATATCATAAACTCAAAGTATATTAAATAGCCAGGGAGCTGCACCTTCGGCGGGCAGCAGGCTGTCTTTTGATCGCACTTGTTATAATTGTGGGAAACCTGGGCATATGAGGAGATATTCTCCTCAACCTCACATGTTGGATTCCATACAGCAGTAGACTAGAGTAGTGGTACCCGCTGGCAACAATAATAATGGTAGAGGACGTCCATAAGGTGGGAGAAGAGGAAATCAACGAGGTCATGGAGGTCAGGGAAATGGTAATGCAAGTAGAGGAGTAGTGCAGCTAGGTAAGGAGGTCACCCATCAAGATGACTGGGCTCAGTGATATGCCTTTCCGGGCAAGAATGAGGTAGAGTCTTCTAACGCAGTGATCACAGGTACTATTCTCGTTTGTGACCTGATGGCTACTATTTTTTTTATCCGGGTTCTACTTATTTGTATGTGTCAATTCAGTTTGCCATGGGATTTGATATTATTTGTGATGTACTTGGTGCCCCCATCCGTGTTTCTACCTCAGTTGGAGAGTCTGTCATAGTCACCCAAGTCTATCGTGCTTGTCCTATCTTGTTTATGGATTTTTAGACTTGGGTTGATTTGGTTATTTTGGATATGACTGACTTTGATATAATCTTAGGCATGACTTAGTTGTCCCCCTATTATATTGTGCTTAATTGTAATACTAAGTCTGTGACTCTAGAGATCCCGAGTAGGGAGAAGTTAGAGTGGGAAGGGGTGTACAAGCTTAAGCCAGCTAAGGTCATATCTTCCATTCGGGCTAGGAAATTGGTGGGGCAGGGTTGTTTGGCATATTTGGCCCATATTCGGGATGTTGAGGTCGATTCTCCCTCTATTAAGTATATTCATGTGGTGTCAGAATTTAGAGAAGTGTTTCCTACCCATTTGCCTGGTATGCCTCCTGATAGGGATATAGATTTATGCATTGACTTGGAGCCTAGTACTTGCCCCATCTCTATTCCTCCTTATCGCATGGCTCCGGCAGAGTTGAGAAAACTTAAAGCTCAAATTCAAGAACTTTTTGATAAAAGCTTCATCCGCCCTAGTGCCTCTCCGTGGGGTGATCCTATCTTTTTTTGAAGAAAAAAAATAGTAGTATGAGGATGTGCATAGACTATCATCAAATGAATAGAGTCACCATTCGGAATAAGTATCCACTACCTCGGATAAATGATCTTTTTGACCAGTTGCAGGGGGCATCAGTTTTCTCTAAGATTGATCTAAGGTCTAGTTATCATCAGTTAAAGATTAGGCCTAAGGATATACCAAAAACGATATTCAGGACCTGCTATGGGCACTATGAGTTTCTATTGATGTCATTTGGGTTAACAAATGCGCCTGTAGCTTTCATGAGTTTGATGAATGGTTTGTTCAAACCATTCCTGGATTCGTTTATTATTGTTTTTATTGATGACATTTTAGTTTATTCGAAGAGTAAGGAAAGAGTATACTGACCATCTTCGTATAGTTATGAGTGTCCTTGGGAGACAGAAGTTATATGCTAAATTTTCCAAGTATGAGTTTTGGTTTACTTCAGTTGCCTTTTTGGGGCATGTAGTTTTAAGGGAAGGGGTAATGGTAGATCCCCAAAAGATTGAAGCGGTTAAGAACTAGATCCGGCCTAGTTCTGTGACTGAAATTAGGAGTTTTGTGGGGATCGCTAGCTACTATCGTTGATTTGTGAAGAACTTTGCTTCCATTGCCACACATCTGACAAGGTTGACAAAAAAGGAGGTCCCTTTCGAGTGGACTGACAAGTGTGAAGAGAGCATTCCAAATCTCAAGGCTCTTTTGACCACAATACCTATTTTGGCACTACCGGTAGAAGGTAAAGATTTTATTATTTATTGTGATGCTTCACATTTGGGTATGGGTGTTGTGTTTATGTAGGATAAGAGTATCATAGATTATGCATCACGGCAGTTGAAAGTGCATGAGCGGAATTACCCGACACATGATTTGGAGTTGGTAGCGGTAGTGTTTACTCTCAAGATTTGGCGGCATTACCTTTATGGTGTTAAGTGTGAGGTTTTTACCGATCACCGTATTCTATAACATGTATTCACTCAAAAGGACCTGAATTTGAGATAACGAAGGTGGATGGAGTTACTCAAGGATTATGATGTGACCATTCAGTATCATCCGGGTAAGGCTAACGTGGTGGTAGATGCATTAAGCCGGAAGGCGGTGAGTATAGGTTGTCTAGCTTGCTTGGATGTATCCACGCGACCTTTGGCTAAGGAAATTCAAACCTTGGAGTGTAAGTTCATGTAGTTGGGTATCTCAAAAAGAGGTGGGGTGCTAGCTAGCATTGAGGTTAGAGCCACATTCATTGGGGAGATCAAGGCCAAACAGTTTAAGGATGAGAATTTGAATGATCTTAGAAAAAAGGCAGTGTCTGGTAAGGTGCAAGCTATGGTTCTTGATGCAGGGGGTGTGCTCATTTTTAAAGGAAGAATTTGTGTCCCTAAAGTGGACAACTTGATTCAGAATTTGTTGACAGTATCCCATGGTTTGCGGTATTTCATTCATCCAGGTGTGACCAAGATGTACCAAGATTTGAAGCGACTTTATTGGTTGCATGGCATGAAGAAAGACATAGCTAAGTTTGTAGCTAAGTGCTAAAACTGCCAACAAGTAAAATATGAGCATCAAAGGCCTGCAGGTTTGCTTCAGAGAATGCCAATTCCGGAATGGAAGTGGAAAAGGATAGTCATGGATTTCGTGGTTGGTCTACCCAAGACTTTGGGGAAGTTTTATTCTATTTGGGTAGTGGTTGACAGGTTGACTAAGTCAGCCCATTTCATTCCAGTCAGGACAGACTATAATGCGCTGTAATTGGCGAAGGTGTATGTGAAGGAGAAAGTGAGGCTACACGGAATGCCCCTTTCTATCATCCAGACCGTGGTACACAGTTCACATCTAAGTTTTGGAGGAAATTGTATGATGAGTTGGGCACTCAACTCACCTTTAGCACCACCTTCCATCTGCAAACGGACGAACAGTCAGACATGACTATTCAACTGCTAGAGGACATGTTGAGGGCATGTGTGATCGACTTTGGGGGATATTGTGATAAGTTTTTACCCTTGTATGAGTTCTCCTATAATAAGACTTACCACTCCAGCATTGATATGACACCATTTGAGGCACTTTATGGGAGGGGATGTAGATCACCCATAGGATTGTTTGAGGCTGGATATGTAAAACCTTTAGGGGTTGACTTGGTGGAGGATGCTCCGGATAAGGTAAGATGCATCCAAGCTAAGCTTCTAGCAACCCAAAGTCTATAGAAAAAGTATGCAGACCATAAGGTAAGAGACATGGCTTTTAAGACTAGGGAAAAAGTTCTTCTTAAGGTGTCACCCATAAAAGTGGTGATGAGATTCGACAAGAAGGGCAAGCTTAGTCCTCGATACATTGGACCATTTGAAGTTCTTGATTGTGTAGGGTTAGTGCCCTATAGATTGGCTTTACCTCAAAACTTATCTGGAGTTCATCCAGTATTTCATGTTTCCATGTTGAAGAAGTATCATGGGGACGGGAATTACATCATAAAATAGGACTCAGTTGTGTTAGATAAAGACCTTCAGTATGAGGAGGAACTAGTGGCAATTCTTGATCGCGACGTCCGGAAGCTGAGGACCAAGGAGATAAAGTCTGTGGAAGTTAAATGGAAGCAGCGTCCGGTGGATAAAGCTACTTGGGAAACTGAGAGGGACATGCAAGACAAGTATCCCAGTTGTTCAATGATTTATGTACTACTCTACCCTTACTATAGTCAGTCCTTCCTAGTTGATCACTCGGGGACGAGTAATGGGTAAATTGGTATCTATTGTAATGAATTGATTCCATCATTAGGGAAAAGCCAATGGGGAAAGAATTGGGGCCAGAAATCTTTTGAGTAGTAACTTGGAAATTCCTAGCCTAGTCCAGATTTGGACTAAATCAGAGTCAGTGAAGTCTAGGGAAATATGATAATGAGTGAAAGATATTATGATAAATTTTATTACATTAGTGGATAGCCAATATGTTAAGGAACCCGTACGACTTTACGAAATCGAATTCAGGCGAGTAGAACTCCCGAAACTGATCTTAGCGTGAACGGGTAGTTTGTGAATGTCATGGGTTGAAGGCGTGTTGTGAAATGGGGGTTTGAAACTAAAATTCCGACGTTCTTTCTTCGTGAAAGCCGTCGGGGCGGGATTTATCCCGCCAAGGCAGGGCCGCTGTGGTGGGATGGGATCCGCTGTAGCGGCCTAGCCGCGACTTAAGTCGGGATTAAACTCCAAAAATGTTAGTTTTCTGCATATTTGGTTATTGAGAGCTAAGAGATGACCCAGGGCTATTTCTTGAAGGTTTTCCACCACTTCTAGCACTAAAGGTAAGGATTTTACTCCCCTAATCCATTTTTCGATCCGTAGAACTTCGATTCTTGGGTACTTATTATTGGGGGAAGGTTTTGATCTGAAGTTAATGGTGGAAAAAGCCCTAAATTAAGTATTGTGATCATGGGTTGGTCTTGGGTTATTGGGTTTGTTATAATCCAGATAATTAGACCTTAATTTATTGATCATTGAGTTATATTACTTGTTTGTAGACCTAAAACAAGCGAAAAGAATCCGAAAAGGGAAGAACCAAGTGTCTTAGGAGGATTCAAGCTTGATTTGAGGTAGGTGATGGTTTGATTTCCTGTTTGTGTGATGTATGTGGATAATTGCTATATTGTATGCATACGTGTATGCGAATCTGATAAAATGTGGAAACAAACCTAATGAAGTGATTGTGAATGATGCATGTCATGAACTTGTGTACTTGAGTATTGTACATTATGGTGTGATTGTGATTGTGATTGTGTTGATGGAATCAGGTGTCACGTTTCGATACATATATTGGATCAGGTGTCACGTTTCGACAAATATTTTAGATCGAGTGTCACGTTCCGACACATTAATTGGGATCGGGTGTCATATTCCGGTACACTAACAGTTTCGGTATGGGCTCCATGAGAAGACCATTGTGTTGCTATATCTATTGCTAATGAGAATGTGGAATGGTACATTGCTCCTGAAATGATAACTGAATTGTATTTCGTATATGTGTGCTTATTATATTGTGATTATCTTCGTATAATGCGCTTATGAGAGTAGCCGCGTGATCCTACCAGTACATTGTGGTTGTGTACTGATACTGCACTTACTCTTTCTTTGTTAAGTACATGGCATCTTCAGGCGGCTACTGACAGACCTTATTTAGAAAATCACTGATCGAGACCGAATTCAAGGGTGAGCCCGTTCTTCCAGGCTGCCATGAGTTCTCTTTTTGCTTAGTCCATTTTCTCCGGACTTAAACTAGTACTTTAGATATTCGTTTATTTAGTTTCGGGGTTGTACCCCTTTTTCTTAGTCTTGTTGAATTTTAGAGTTTTGGTACATTGACTTTTAGGTTCTAGGCATTGTTTCCGCAAATATTTAGTAATGGCTTGTCAAACTTTCAGAGTTTATGAGAACTCCAGTTTATTTCTGCATTTAAACCTGCTTTCATATCTTTAAATGTCTAGCTTTGGGGTTAGTTGGTTAGTAGTAATGGTTCTCCCACCGGAGGGTTAGTGTGGGTGCCAATCACGACGGTCTGGGTCGTGACAACTGGGACAGAAAGAAAAAATTAGCAAGAAAAGTGACTTACATGGCATCAATACTGACATAAAGAATATGATTTAATGAGAGTAAAAATCAGGTTCTATTTTCATTTCCCTTGATTTTTTTTTCTATCCTTTATAAGTTATGAGATTTATTTCATAAATGTTAGGATAGATGGTCATTATGTGATGATCTCAGAATATATCATTATTATTAATATGTTTTCTGTTTAGAGGAGGAAAAAACACTTGTGTAGTTTTCTACTCCATATGAAATTTGATTGTGTCTGACTTTTGGAGACTAAAATCTTCTGATTTTTTACTCCTTTGGTTAGAAGAATATAAGAACTTCAGGAACAAATAAGATTGTACATTGGTTTGAAGAATATAGAAATTTCAACAATTTGTTAAATACTCTGTTTGAATGAATATTCTGACTTGAAGAGTATAAAATCATCATCATGAACATTAAGGCTAAATGATTTGAAAAAGATAAAATCTTCATCGTTAGCTAGAAAATAGTGTTGTATTTGAGGTTTCTGGATATTAAAACCTTTCTGGATTACTACTCTGTCTGAATGTGAAATTGATTTGAAGAATTAAAGGTTCATTCGGTAAACGATTAGAATAATATAAAAACTTTATCGTTAAACTAGAAACAAGTTGTATAAAGATTGAATCTTTATTGTTAGTATTCTAAATACTAAGTGGTTTGTCTAATTGTGACAAAAGGGAAAAAATACTAGTGACATAAATTTAGTGATTTTTGTGCTTGCAATGAGTATTTCTATGGATTAAATCTCCAAAAGAAGGCTTCATGTTGCCAATGTGTATTTTGATGGCATATAAGTTGAAAACATGGAACAAATATGTGGAAAATAATTTCAAATACTTGAAAAATATTTTTGAAAACATATTTAAAATGTGGGGGTTCTTTACTTGTGATAAAGACAAAATTAGACTTACTATCTAATTTAAAAGTACAAGATATGAAATTTAATGACCTTCTTGTATTATGTGTAACACCCCGAAAATTTCTAAGTTAAGACTCGAACCATTCTTCATATACTTGTAGGGTCATATCGGATTATTTTTAAATTGCCCATATGTGTAGAGGTAAATTCTTTAGTGTGGAAATGATTTTGGATATCAATTCAGGTCACTAGAAATTCCTAGCACAAAGTTGAGTTGAAAGTTACCTTACCGATAAAGTTTTGATGTAAGATTTTACTTGGGTCAACTTTAAATGACCATATCTCTTAGAATATAAAGAGTTACGTGGACCATAGCCTATAAAATTAAAGGTATTTGAATCTTCTTTCCAATGCCACCAATTTCGCAACAATCCGAGGTTTGAGTAAAAATTTATGACCATTTAAGTAACCTGATATAGTGCTGTGATGGATTAGCCGACGGAAAAACATTAAAAAGGGTCTTTTTACCTCTAAGAAAACTCTAAATTGAATTTCTTGATTAATTAAAAACCCAAAACAATCATATTTTCATCTCTTAATTTATCATTCTCTTCTCTCTCAAATCCCAACACAAAACCCTAAGGAAAAATCAAAGTATAAGACTCCATTCAAGATTTTTTCAATCTTTTTCAAGATTTTTCTTCAATGTAAGTCCTTCTCCAAGAATTTTATTATTTCTAACTCAAATTCTTCTATACAATTATGAATCACTACTGAAAATCATAATTCTTGGCTATAGAGATTTCAAGAAACTAATTCAAGAAATCTCAAGAAAGGTGTTCTTGATTTTTCTCCTTCAAGCTAGGGTTTCGAGGCTTCTAATCAAGTTCTTCTTCAAGATTCTTCAAGAACCTTGTTCTTCCAGGTATGTAAGGCTATCATAGTGTTGGACTAGTTCATCCTCACGCCCTACATCTACTTTCAAATCAATAAAAGAGAAATCAAGGATTCTACCCCTAGATTTGAGTATTCTTGAGCTGAGTTGATTTTGAGTTTTGGAGTTCCTATTTTTT